TTAAGCTGTTGAGATTGTGTTTTCTGATGTTGTTGTGTGTAAAAATAAATTCGACTACTGATGCAAGTCTATTTCAGGTCCATGCACTTCTTTATTTGAAATACTGTACCTTAAAACTTTAGTTTAAGTAACTATTCACGCCATACTACTGGCTTATTACCTTGCTATTATTAAGATGTTAACTGTTAGCTAATAAGGTATGATCTTATTTTACAAATCCTACCCAAAACACAACTATTCCCTTACTAACTATTAATAAGCAGTTAATTAGTAGTTTATTGAGCTAAAAGTCTTAGTTAATGGCTTGTTAATAACGTGAATTGTACATTAAAATAAATTGTGACCTGTTGTTTTTTTTTTATTTTACAATACATAGTTTTGCTTTTAACCCTTCATTGAAATAGTCATTGAAAAATATGAGTATTTATTATAAGATTATATTAAGGTTATTGTATAATATTTTGATAATATTTAGATTTTGTTTTTACTTCTATGAAAAATAATGTAAGTTACATTGAGTGTGTGTGTGTGTGTGTGTGTGTGTGTGTGTGTGTGTGTGTGTGTGTGTGTGTGTGTGTGTGTGTGTGTGTGTGTGTGTGTGTGTGTGTGTGTGTGTGTGGCCACTTTATTAGGTACACCTGTCCAACTGATTCTTATTGCAAATTTCTAATCAACCAATAACATGGCAGTAACTCAATGCATTTACACATTTAGACATGGTCAAAAGGATCTGCGGCATAAGAATGAGGAAGAACGGTAATTTAAGTGACTTTAGATGTAGCATGGTTGTTGGTGCCAGAAGGGCTGGTCTGAGTATTTCAGAAAACTGCTGATCTACTGGGAGTTTCACGACAACCATCTCTATAGTTAACAGAGAATGATCCATAAAAGAGAAAGTATTCAGTGTGGGCAGTTCTGTGGGTGCTAATGCCTTGTTGATGTCAGAGGTCAACAGTAACTTGAAAAACCACTCGTTACGACCGAGGTATGGAACCTCTAACCTTAAGGCAGATGGGCTACAGCAGCAGAAGACCACATTGTGTGCCACTCCTCTCAGCTAAGAACAGGAAATTGAGGCTACAATTCACACAGGCTCACCAAAACTGGACAATAGAAGATTGGAAAAGTGTTGCCTGGTCTGATGAGTCTCCATTTCTGCTGTGACATTCGGATGGTAGGGTCAGAATTTGGCATCAATAACATGAAAGCATGGATCCTGTCTATTATCAATGGTTCAGGCTGGTCGTGGTAGTGTAATGGTGTGGGGGATATTTTCTTAGCACACTTTGGGCCAATTAGTGCCAATTGAGCATTGTGTCAGCGAGTATTGTTGCTGACCATGTCCATCCCTTTATAATCACAGTGTACTCATCTTTTGATGGCTACTTCCAGCAGGATAACCAGCAATGTCATAAAGTGTGAATCATCTCAGACTGGTTTCTTGAACATAACAATGAGTTCACTGTAGTCAAATGGCCTTTACATAGAGCCCCCTTGGGATGTAGTGGAATGGGGGATTCGCATCATGGATGTGCAGCCGACAAATCTGCAGCAACTAAGTGATGCTATCATGTAAATATGGACCAAAATCTCTGAGGAATATTTCCAGTATCTTGTTGAAACCATGCCATGAAGGATTAAGGCAGTTCTAAAGGCAAAAGAGTACTAGTAAGGTGTACCTAATAAAGTGGCCGGTGAGACATTTAAATGAAATCAGATAATCTAACAATAAAAACTAATAACAATAAATACTATGATACATTTTAGAAATTTTGAATACTATATTATAAAAACTATATCATACTATACTGTAATATACATAATAATAATAAATGTAAAATAAAAAATTATAAATACAAAAAAATAACACAACAACTGTTATTACTGTTATAACAGGCATAAAATTAGAGAAAAAATTGGAGTAAAAAGTGTCATATCTGTTGTCAAGTTATATTTGTTAATAAATTGTGCCAAATGTTTTGTTTCACAATTTCAGTTAATCACTTTTGCTAACTAAACTGTAGAATTTAACTTACTTCAAAACAGGAAAGCAGAATCTCATCTAATATTCTAATGTAATCTAAAATATTTTGCTGGAAAAATCTCTGAAAAAAAATACCAAAATCAGAAGATAAAATGTTTTAGTTGTGGCTCTATTTTAATACTACCGTTATTGTTCCTGGTTCGAACAGGCCTTCTTTAGACCCAAAACTATGGGCTATCTAATGCAGAAAGCAGATGGATTGTATTCTGTCGTTCTGTGATGGGACAGTCTGCGTATGGCTGCAGTGTCTGATTGCACTCATGCAGGGTGGAGACGAGAGATCACTAACTCATCACACATGACCAGCCAACATGTGGAATGCATTGCATCATATTTGTTTCTCATCATGTTTTCCGTGGCTCCTGTCCCACCCTGAAGATCTGCTCTATCAGCTGCTGTTAGCTAATCAGCATTGCAGACTAATGATGCGCTATGAAGGAGGACAGCAGAAATTAGCCAGTGCTGCATCTGCGCAGATGGTAAAAGGACATTTCCACTGAACTAGAGTGATGTACATCTACTATAAAGCAGTTTCACATTTGCTAACAGTCAGGAATTTAAAGTCCACATGAACCAGGAGCTGAAGTTATGTGATGTATTCACTGTTGCCAACTATTTTTAACGAAATGGTGCTAAGTTCTGCCCAAAAAGTTGCTAAAAGTCACTAGATTATGTCATACTGTAACGACAGGGAGTAACACCAACAACTGCGGTAAGATCCAATATGCAGGTTTATTCACAGTCAGGCAAGCAGTGGTCAATACGGGTGCAAACAGGTGTGTGAGGACAATCCAGAATCACAGTCGTATACAGGCAAGAGGTCAGAAAGGCAGGCAGCAGGCAAAGACAAAGAGGCTAACAAGGCTAACGGTCGGTACACAAGATAACAAGACTGGGAAACGCGTTGTAATGCTACTGTGACAGATAACAAGACTCTGCAAACTGAAGGGGTGAATGTGTGGCTTAAATAGTGTGTTAATCAGTCTCTGACAATCCTCAGGTAGTGTGAATGTAATCAGTCTAGATGAGGAAGCATGTGTGAGTGTGACCGGAGTGCATGTATAAATATGTAGTCCAGAAATGGCAGATTTGTAGTCCATGGTTATTGTAGGTGCAAACCAGCGATCTTATGGGAAATGATCGCTGGTAATCGTGACACATACGTTAATTTGCATACTAATGACATCATCACGTTCGACCATTTCTGTTTGTTTAACAACCTATGGTTAATAAAATAGTATTTATATTTGCACTACGCTTTTTGTTTGCATGTCAATTCAACTAAATTAATTGCTGTTTGAATACAGTATATCAATGGATGTGTGGTGAAATTGCAGTAGTCTCTCACATGTAATAAACTCAACCAAGTTCTGAAACTCTTACATAAAATATCTGTGATTGTGAACAAGAAAATAATAAACGGTCAAATTAAATTGTTAAAATAAAGTTGAAGCAGATCGGTTTGACTGTCTAAAGAAAATAACCTTCACACTGCTGGTGCTAAATCATTTGCCATCGGTACGCAGAGAGGCTCTAGGGCTGCAGGTGGGAGAGGCTGCTGTACGAGGACTGGGCCACCTGTCAGTGCTCTGAGGCGGGGGAGGGGCCGGCGGCATTACCCGCAGCTCGTTGAGAAGAGTAGGGACGGTACAGTATGGACACATGACTGTCTATAAAAATCTCCAGTAACTCACAAAAAGTCTCTAGATTTGTTGCTAGTCGCTTTTTTGAAAATTTGTCGCTAGGGGGGGTCTAAAATGTCGCTAAATCTAGCAACAAAGTTGCTAAGTTGACAACACTGGATGCATTTCCTTAAGAAACGGAATAATATATGAGAAAACAATGGGTGTGGCTTGTTTTTTTTTTAATCTGAGCTGATTGGATGTAGTAACTTTGCTTTCATTCAGAAAGCTCATTCATAAAGCTCAGGAAAAGGGTTTGGAGAGAGATTTTACAACCTAACAGACTCCTCCTGCTCACCATTTCTGTTTGTTTTCAAAATTGTCATTTAGAGGTGCGTGGTTAAGTATGTTAGCCCAGCCCAATGCCTAGGACACACCTGAACACACCTGAGTGGAATGAACTCCCTAACTGCATCAGAACGGCAGAGTCACTCGCTGTTTTCAAGAAACGACTAAAATCTCAACTTTTTAGTCTCCACTTCACTTCCTAATCTGCAATTGATATACCACTAACTGTACTCAAAAAAATATATATAAATAAATACTAATACTTTCCTTCTTAGACTTTCCAGACCTGAAACTTGCCTATAGCACTTATTCATTGTTGCTCTTATAGTTGTGTAAATTGCTTCCTTGTCTTCATTTGTAAGTCGCTTTGGATAAAAGCGTCTGCTAAATGTAAATGTAATATGTAAATGTAATCTAACAGTTTAAATGAACACAAACAGGAAGAGCGTTTTCAGATTTCATTTAAAAGTTAGATCAAAGAGTTTGGAATGACCAAGAGGCGACACTCAATAGAACGTTCCATTGCAACAGCAGCGCTCAGCAACAGCCATGGATTCCTCCATTTTGAGTGAAAGCGATCGGCCGTCTATTTATTGGATCTTATTGCTGTCACGATGGCAAGCAGCTGCTTTGTTTTTATTTATTTATTTAAAAAGCGCATTAAAGCTGAGACACAACCTAAAAGACGACAATACAGCACCTACTATCACAATCATCAGCACTTTGAATACTTTATTTTACAGACTTATAATATGCTATTGTTCCATTGGAATTTTCAGTCCACAATGGCTGCCGCGCCATCTAGTGGTTGATTCCCAAATTGCACTAGAGTGTCGCCTCTTGGTGATTTTATGCTCCTTGGTTAGATGATCAAACAATTGTTCTTTTCTTAATGACATGCACAGATGAATTGTTTACCACATGTTTTGCTAATATTAAAGGTATAGTTTTGTTGTAGTTACCAATGTTGATTGTTCTCTCTGTAGGCTACAGTGGGTTTGATCCGTAACCTGGCGCTGTGTCCAGCCAATCAGGCTCCTCTACGGGAGTCCGGCGCAATCCCTCGACTAGTCAACCTGCTGCTCAAAGCCCATCAGGAGACGCAGAGACATGGATCAGGAGCCCAGCAGACCTATCAGGTGCAGTACACTGACCTAGAAGTGACAACAAATATAGCACGCATATTCCAAAAAAATATAGATAAATAATTTTTTTTTTTAAATCAGTAAATATATATATGGTGGCTCACCTCACAGCAAGAAGATTGCTGGTTTGAGTCCCAGCTGGTCCAGGCATTTCTGTGTGGAGTTTGCATGTTCTCCTTGTGTTCGCGTGGGTTTTCTCAGAGTGCTCCGGTTCTCCCACAGTCCAAAGACATGCGCTATAGGTGAATTAGGTACGCTAATTTGGCCGTAGTGTATGTGTGAGAATGAGTATGGGTATTTTTCTCTGATTTTACTCATAATTCTCTCTTCATATCGCCGTATGCCTATTACATATCCATAAAACACTGTGATATAACCGCGCTCGGATCGGATCGCTTTCTCACTGTAATCGAACCGCTCCAGGGTTCGTTTCAATCGAGCCGAGACCACCTCACTCAAGCGATCTCGGAGCGATTACTTTGGCGCGGAACAGAGCGCGAATGCCCTGTTTACATATGCCAATCGAACCGCGCTAACAGGGCAAACGAGATACGTTCCGAAACAAAAGTGTAGGTGTGAAAGCACCCTAATACAGTGATCAACAATCAACAAAGGCAAGTTGCAGTAGAAAGTCTGTGCAAAACACCCAAAAATGCCTGATATAATATTAATAATATTATATATATGTAATTATTATAAAAAATGTATCAACTTGTAATATTTAAAGAAAATCTTTATTTGATGACTAAAACATCTAAAGCAAGGAACATGCTTCAGGTTTTTTGAAATATAAGCTGCGTCCCAAATGGCACACTATACACTATGCACTCATGCACTATGCACTTACACACTCAACAGGCTAGTATATGTATGTAGTGTCGTCCTAAATGGCACACTAATGGTTTTTTTACTAAGAGGAAATTTAAACCGTTTCCCTGATGACGTTTGACGGTCGCCAAATCAGTGAAATAAACGACCGCATTATCAAATAATACCTGCCGCGAGTGTAACCGCATTTACCATCGGGAGGCGCTTTAATCACACTCGTAGGAGAATTTTGCTTTAACCATCCAAAATAAATAAAGTTATCCAACATGTGTGCCTGATAGCTCCGCCTCTTCCGCTACGTGAGCAAACCTGCGGTCGTTGAGTGCGTAGCTGCGTTCCAAATCGCATACTTATGCACTATTCTACGCCATTTTGTAGTATAAATAGTGCATGTAGTGTTTTCACACTGAAAACTCTAATAATAACAAATGCACTTTAATTACCCGGATGATGCACTCATTCAGCCGCTAAAATGAAGTGTGGAATGATGGACACTTCACGCACTCTATCGGACGCACATGTTGGATAACTTTATTTATTTTGGATGGTTAAAGCAAAATTCTCCTATGAGAGTGATTATAGCGCCTCCCGATGGTGAATGCGGCAATACTCACGGCAGGTATTATTTGATAATTCGGTCGTTTATTTCACTGATTTAGCAAACGTCATCAGGGAAACGGTTTGAATTTCCGCTTAGTAAAAAAACATTAGTGTGCCATTTGGGACGACACTACATACATATACTATCCTGTTGAGTGTGTAAGTGCATAAGTACATAGTGCATGAGTGCATAGTGTATAGTGTGCCATTTGGGACGCAGCTCGTGAATTGTCCATCATTACACACTTCACTTTAACGGCTGAATGAGTGCATCATCCGGGTAATTAAAGTGCACTTATTATTTTTAGAGTTTTCAGTGTGAACACACTATTTACACTGTTTATACAACAAAATGGCGTGGAATAGTGCATAAGTATGCGATTTGGGACGCAGCAATAGACATAAATATGTTTTTTTTTTATAATTTAATGAAATATGCTAATTTTATTAGGAAACAAACGAGGAAAAATACATATTTTCTACAAAGACTTTTTTGTATATTTTTAAAAACATGTTGAAATATATTTTTAGAACGCAAATACATTTTCCAGAAAATCCATTTGCTTATAATAGTTGGAGAATATATTTTATTTGATGTATAAAACATCTAAAGAAAGGAACGTCCAACTTTTTTAAATATAGGAATGCTTCTTTTTGTTGACAGGACGGTGTGCGAATGGAGGAGATCGTGGAGGGCTGTACAGGAGCTCTGCACATTCTGGCCAGAGATCCAATGAACCGAGGGGAAATCGCCAGCATGCAGACCATTCCTCTGTTTGTGCAAGTACTGAACACACTTCTGCCTCTGTATATGTGTGTGCATGTGTGTGTGAATAATTGTATTGTCACTCATCTTAGTTGCTTCTAAAAACACTGTACATTATTACAGTATGTGTCACTTTAGTATGTTTTTTATTCATATAGAAACTATTAAAAGTGCAGAGCAGCAGTAAAGCAAATGTGGATGTTGTTTTATTATGAGTATAAGTGCTCTGATTCATCTGTCCTGCTAGCTGCTGTACTCATACGTGGAGAACATCAAGCGCGTGTCGGCCGGTGTTTTGTGTGAACTGGCTCTGGATAAGCAGTCGGCTGAGATGATCGATGCTGAAGGAGCGTCTGCGCCTCTGATGGAGCTCCTGCACTCCCCGAATGAGGGCATTGGTGAGTGTTTTGTATACATGAACACTCTTTAGTCCGGCGTTTCACACTCACATGTAAAAAATATTGTTCACATTTTCAATACATGTGACTAAAATGACTAACAGCAGGATCCTAACATTCAATCATATTATTTTGAAACATTTTCTCCATTGTTTGGCTCATTTCTTGAAAAAGGAACTACGTTCTCAAACCTTTAAGATGGTTTGGCAAAACAGTCTTACAATTTACCACAACACTATAGATCAGGATAGTAATATTTGCAATAGTGAATAGTAATAAAGATAGTAATATTTGCAATATATAATTAACTTATTAGCATTTTAAAAGGGGTTAATTGAAGGGGGTGTCTCCCCAGCAGCCTCTATTGACCACTGGTAAGAAGTCAACCAATTCCAATTGACTGGGCTTTGATCTGACCAATCAGAGTAGAGTATCCTCACAGAAAGGCGGGGTTTAGAGACACTATATCCTTGAACAAACTGTTTCAGACACTGTGAGGGAAGAGCTGATGCTGAGTTGTGTATTTTGAGGAAGTTTAAATGTGTTTTGACCTTGTATGGATGTAAACCTCTTATTGGAGACCCTGAAACAACAGAATGGGCCAAACCAATACAGATGTTTCTATTTTTTTGTGTGTGTACAAGAAATTCTAGGCTGTATAAACACAACATAAGCATATTTGAAACTGCAAACCTTCCCCTTGATTTGTAGACTCCCTGTGGATGTAAGCGGATACAGAGTACTGGCAATTCTGACTTGTTCACTGTATACAGTATTATATCAGCACTTTTCATAATCTGCCAACACTTTCCTCTATCTGCTTTGATTTGAACACATCATTTTTGGTGTGATGACCAAGCTAAATTTTTAAGCAAGCCCAGGATCAAATGATCTTTTATAAATCATTCTGTTCAATCTTTAATATTTTGTGGGAACTGTGATTTTTATATATGTATATATCCTGGATCCTTTGATGAATACAACCTTCAAAAGAACAGGGTTTATTTCGGATGTTTTATTTTTGGAGCAGTTTAAATGTCTTTACTGACCCTTTTGATTCCAAACTCAATTGTACTTCTATATGGAGGACCAGGAGTGCGGGTTTGAAATAAAATGAAGAATCAAATTGTCAATTTAATAATTGTATAAAAATAAAAGCATAAAAATGTATACAAATAAATCACAATGTAAATGAATAAATAATGGACGTATTTTATTGTGTTTATTTTAAATGTCATTTAATAAAGCAATAAAACAATGCATTTAACAACAACTTTTGAATGTATAAATAAATAGACAATTTTAAAATGCTGATTAATCAAACAATAAAAAGTATTTTTATAGATCATTTTAAATGCATTTGACATGCTTTTCTCTCTTTATTTGCCACTTGCTTTTCTTTTTTTATTTCTTTTCTTTATTTGCTTTGCTTTTCTGATGATGAAATATTAAATAACAACTAAACAAATAACAAAGGATAGCACCAAAATAACATAATTTTTAGGTCTGGTTTATTCATAATTACAAAATAAGAGCCCTTCAAATCTTATTGATAGAAAGCACTGCTGTGTCTCTGTGTTCAAAAATGTATAGATGGATAGATGGATGGATGGATGGATGGATGAATGATAAAAAGATAAAGGATAGATAAACGGATAGATGGATGGATAGATGTTCTGTTAATTCTCTTCATATCTTTGATTGGGTGGGTGGGTGGGTGGATGGATGGATGGATGGATGGATGGATGAATTGACAGATGGATGGATGGATGAATGAATGAATGGATGGATGATAAAAAGATAAAGAATAGATAGACGGATATATGGATAAATAGATGTTCTGTAAAATCTCTTCATATCTTTGATTAGGTGGGTGGGTGGATGGATGGATGGATGATAAAAACAGATAGATAGATAGATAGATAAATAGATAGATAGATAGATAGATAGATAGATAGATAGATAGATAGATAGATAGATAGATAGATAGATAGATAGATAGATAGATAGATAGATGGATGGATGGATGGATGGATGGATGATAAAAACAGATAGATAGATAGATAGATAGATAGATAGATAGATAGATAGATAGATAGATGGATGGATGGATGGATGGATGGATGGATGGATGGATGGATGGATGGATGGATGGATGGATGGATGGATGGATGGATGGATGGATGGATGGATGGATGGATGGATGATAGATAGATAGATAGATAGATAGATAGATAGATAGATAGATAGATAGATAGATAGATAGATAGATAGATAGATAGATAGATAGATAGATAGATAGATAGATAGATAGATAGATAGATAGATAGATAGATAGATAGATAGATAGATTGGATGGATGGATGGATGGATGGATGGATGGATAAATGGATAGACGAATGGACAGATGGATGGATAAATGGATGATAAAGGATAGATAGATAGATAGATAGATAGATAGATAGATAGATAGATAGATAGATAGATAGATAGATAGATGGATGGATGGATGGATGGATGGATGGATGGATGGATGGATGGATGGATTATGCTCATGTTTGTTCTTATTTCTTCCTCTCCTCTTCAGCTACCTACGCCGCAGCCGTTCTCTTCCGCATCTCAGAGGACAAGAGTTCTGACTACAGGAAGCGAGTGTCAGTGGAGCTCACTCACTCCCTCTTCAAACACGACCCTGCAGCCTGGGACATGGTCAGTACAATCACTCAATCACACAGCACAAGCATTACTCACACCATTTACAATTAGTTGTGCCCTGGCAATCTTTTAGCAATCGTAATGAGATAATTATATTGATTTGGCATATCTAATAACAGACCTTGAAATTGTTGAAATGTAATACAATGCAGCTCTGATATAAAGTGCAGTGTGCTTTCATTTAGGGTTTCAGTTTTCAGTTCATCTTGTACTGTAATCAGTTATACGGTCATCACGTGAACCTACAGGTTTAAATGACTAAGCTCTAACGGCCTATACAATAACATATATATATATATATATATATATATATATATACAGTGAGTACACCGCATTTTGAAAATGAATATTTTTATCCATTTCTCAGTGAATTTAGCAATGTATTTTGGTGCATTTAAACAAAACCGATTTATAAAACAGATATATTTATTAAAATAATATTTTAATTACCAAATATATTTAGAAATTGACAGATAATACAATAAAATTCAAGCAAAATATTGCAAAAAAAATGACAACCTACAAAATTCAACAATTTTCAATCTACAAAAACTAAATTTTTCCATTGTTTTGCTTCTTTTGATTTTTCCTCTTTTTTAAATTTGTATTTAATATTTTTTTATAACATAAATTTGGCTTTACTAGTTTTTGGACCATTATCGTAAGTTATTTTGTTAGATGAGCAACAGATTTGGCTTCAGTACTGACTAATCTAATGTATATGCACAAATATAATACTGTATAGTTTCCTATTAAAAATATGAATTTAAAAGAGATTTGTGAGGGGTGTACTTACATATGCTGAGCACTGTATATGTTAATGTTATATATGTTATATATATATATATATATATGTATAAGCAATTTCACTCAAGTAGCAGTGTGATGTAGCTGTATATTGGCACTGGTGGGAGATGTGCGTTGGCTCGAGGCCACATGCAGAGTGCCTAAGTTTCCCAGAAGTGACGATATACAGCCATATTGCACTGCTACTCGTGTGATATTGCGTTTTTACTACAGTTTGACAGCATAACCATGTATATTATACAGAAAATAAAACATGGAAAGTATCAAAAACCCTTTTGTATGAGGAACTACTTTCCTGCGCCATTCCTTCACATCTGCAGCTGACATCAGAACAGCAGAAGACGTTGCTCATTTACTAACGTCACTTTAGAGCTAGTATTTGAATGATTCTCTTGTATAATATCTAAAGTAAAGAAAAAGCAGGTGATTTTGCTCACATTTTAAGAGTATATAGCTGAACAGCATGAAATGTCATCAGTCTACAGAGATTTCCCAGCATTTCTCTGTTGCAATTGGCAAATCACAATAACTAACCCAGAACAAGCCAAAGCAAAGCAAACACTAGCAGATTACTGTTGTGTTTAAAATAGGCACTATCCTTATAAATAAAGTGCATGGTTGCAATCTAAACAACTACATTTCTGACAACAACAACAACAAAAAAAAGCCTAAAAAGTACATTATGTTGTCCAACAGCTGCAATATTTGTCAAACTGTAGCCCTCTGGTTGCCACTTGTGTGGGCAGAGTTTGCAGAATATTGCACAGCTATCAGCCCATGGATTGTTATTTTTATTTAGATTTTATATATGTAACTTATTTAAAGTACTGTATTATTACCAAAATAACCTATTACTAATATATTTAAAAGTACCTTTTATTCCTGTGATGAAAAGCTTTTTTTTCCACACTGTAAAAAATGATGTCATGACAACAATTGTTTTATATGTCACGTTAAGATATTTTAATAAGTTCATCAAGTGTCAACTACATTTTTTTTAGTTATGTATGATTTAAATAATTTACATGTATTATTTATATTTATTTTTTTGAGTCAGTTTGACTAATGTAAGCTGAGATTTCCTTTGATTCACTTAACAAATTAAGGCAGCAACATTTTTCCAGTGCCAAATGATCCATTAGAAATCATAACAAAATACTGATTTGCAGCTCAACTAAAGTATTTTGACATTTCCTCATACTTCAGTGAGATCAATCATTCTTTTCTCGACAGCAAAAGTAAATACATGTGTATAATATTCTTCATCCAGGCACACGCCGCCATGCCTCTCGACCCCGGATACATACCAGATGGTGAGTTGCGAGCCGATCAACAGCCCAGCACATTCACTCTCATTCTATCCTTCTGCTTTAGTGCGCAACACCGCAGCAAATTGCCTATTTATCCAGCGCATCCCACCGCATTACTGCCAAGAGCATTAAAATGAAATGCCACATGACAAATGAGTTATGGCTGGTGGATGCGCGCGCGAGAGAAGGGTCAAAGACGAAAAGATAAAGAGAGACAGTCATTGAATTCACATTTATCAAGCTCCAGAGCGGTTCGATTGCGTTGTTGTCAGTCTGTTACGCCGAGTGACAGAAAAGCGTGTTCCTTCTGTAGGGGAACATTAGCTGGGTTTGCTGCCTGATCTTCAGTCATTTGACCAGTTTCAGTTGTCATCCGCTCAGATAGCTCCAGTGATAGACTGAAACTCTGCTACAGGATGTTAAAAAAAATCGACTGAAATAGCGTAGTCTGTGTGTTGGACTTTTGGGTTTTCTACACAGAGATACTGTCGAGCTATAAAAATATCTGAAGCTAGAAATGCCCTCACAATCAAAGCCTAAAAAATACATCAACACAGGTGAAAACACACTCCTGCATACATTTCTGGAGAGCGTGAATTATGTAGCCAGAACTAATTATGGCTGCATTTCATCTTTAAAACGAACGCAACAGGGTGGTATGACTCTGCCGATGGCTTCTGTTGCTTTTTAAACTAACAGCTGACCGCTGTTACCAGTTTGCTCAGTAGCTCGCCATGTACGTCGGCGGACTTAAGACTCAGAGCAGACTAGACGGCGCCGGCAGGGTTTGAGCAGTGCTTATTTTGTAAATTTCAAGGTCCCGGAACAGATGAAATATGGGAGACTCCCAGGAAAAACGCAGTGTTGGGAGGTATAGTGGGGTTATCAGAGAGTTGGTCGATCAGTAGACAGCGGCCTCTGGTAGATTTATGCGAGAAAAGCAGGGACGAATGGCACTTTCAAGAGAGATTTGAGATCTGAGAAAGTGTACACAGCGCCCTCTGGTGGATTTGCGAAAAACAAAAACTGCAAAATGTACCTCCTGGGACAAATTTCACGCTCTCTAGAAATGTATATAGGGGTACGTGTCAATAATGAGCCTGGGTTAAAATATAATGTTGAAGCCTAAATATTATTGGAAATACAGTTTTTTTAATATTCATTTAATTATGAATCTGTTAATATTAATTAAATATGATTACTTTTTCAAATATTTCCGAAATTATGTTTAATGGAGCATGGACATTTTTCGTTGTTTTGCTATTATATTTTTTTCTTCTGAAATAAAAGCAGTTTATTTATTTTTTTCTATTTTTAAGATCAATACTATTAGCCTACTTTAGAAATGTTCAGCGCTTCAGTTGGCTACAGAACAGAACAAATATCTAGTAAAATATCTTGCACTGTCATGTTCATGGCAAAGACTAAAAATGTAGTTATTAGGAACAATTAAAACTATTATCTTTTAAAATATGTTGGGAAACATAATCTTTCCATTAATCTGCACTTGGTAAATATTTGAAAACAATTTCTATTTCAGAATTTATTCTTCAGCTGTATATTTGTGAGGTAAAATTGAGTCCAACATTCTTGAAAGTATTTTATTTCTTTGTTTAACAATAAAACAACTCAAAGCCATTTAAGGGAGAGTAAATGATCATGGAATGATAAGTCAGTTTATAAATTATTGCATTGTATCATTTATTCACATTGAATTAAATAACAAAACCGCAAGCAATAGTACAATGTTGCAATAGGTATAGTGAGGGAAATAAGTTTTGAACATGTCACCATTTTTTTTTTTCAGAAATCATGTTACCATAGGAAATTTTCACCGGATGTTGGTAGCAACCACAGAAATCCATATATGCAAAGAAAACAAATCCATTTGGTTTACAAATGAAGTTATGTGTAATAAAATAAAATGACGCAGGGAACAAGTATTGAATACATGAAGAAAGGATGGTGTAGAAAGGCACGGAATGCCCAGACAGCAGCTGAAATCTCTCAGTAGTTCTTCAGCAACCCTCTGCCCTTCCTCGTTGTAAATAAATATCAGCTGCTTCAGTCCAACATCATTATCCGGATGATGAAGATGAAACCAGGGTGGAGAGTTCAGCAAGACAATGATCCAAAACACAGCCAAGGAAACTCTCAAATGCTTTCAGAGAAAGAAAATCAAGTTGCAGAATGACCAAACCGATCACCTGACTTGAATGGCAGCTTAAAGACACCTCTCATATGGAGTCATGTACTGCTCAGGTGTGAGTTGGTCACAGACTTCAACAGAGTGTCAAAATCCTGATGGTTTTGTGGGTCTCGTCAATGAAATCTGATCTTTATTTTGTATTTTCTATTAGATTTAAGTCTGGTTGACTGTGTCCACAGAATATTCTTGTGAAAACAATACAGCTGTATTAACATGTCATGTACAAAACAAACCCCGTTTCGACAGACAAGACACTTGAGGTTTGAGGATGTCAGTCTGAGGGTGTTTTTGTGTCTGACTCTTCAGGCGTTTCTGCTGTGGCCTCGGGGCTTTGTGGAGGTCTGTTTCTAGGTGTTTGTATTTAACAAGTGTGTCATTTGGATTCAGTCAATTTGTTCGTCTGAAATCCCCCTCGGTCACTTACATTTCATTAAGCAGCTCTCTATCAATGTCGAGGGTCCTCCATTATGTGAATCGCTAGAAGTATGTATCGCTGGAAGTGCTTTGCATTTTTCATTCTCACTTTTTTTAATCCCTGCTCAAAGTTTCATCCAACAGTAAATTGACTCATTAAAGCAATGACATGTACACTGAATTTATCATGGTAAAAATCGATTTAAGCGCTCTACTTATGTACACAAACCATGAGCATCACATTGCATCAATTAAACATAATAGGACATACAGCGGGGAAAGAAAAATTGAACATGTTTTTTCCGGGGAATAATATTTCCAAAGAAGCTGTTGACGTGGAATTAAACCAGATTTTGGTAAAAACCCAAACAATACAAACATATAAATATAAAAAATAAAAAACTTAAATAAATTGTTGTTTAATAAAGATGGAATGACGCTAGAAGAAAGAGTACTAAACTACTGAAATGTATTTAATACTTTATATAAAAGGCTTTTTTGTTATGTCAGCTTAAAGACGCCTCTCATATGGAGAATGAAGTCACATGCATTGCTCAGGTGTGAGTTTTTCACAGACTTGAACATCTTAATATTTCTGTAGGTCTTGTTTATCAAATTTGATCTTTAATTTGTATTTTCTGTTGGAGTCATGTCAGGTGTTCGGCTGGGCCATTCTACCGCTTGATTTCCTTTCTCTGAAAGCATTTGAGAGTTTCCATGGCTGTGTTTTTGATCATTGTCTTGCTGAAATGTCCACCCTAGTTTCATCTTAAACCTCCTGTTAATGTCGATGTTGGACTGAAGCAGCTGATTAATTTACAGTGAGGAAGGGCAGAGGATTGCTGAAAAACTACTGAGAGATTTCAGCTTCTGTCTGGGCTTTTCACTGCCTTTCTACACCTTCCTTTCTTCATGTGTTCAATACTTGTTCCCTGCGTCATCTCATTTTATTACACATAACTTTGTTTGTAAACTAATTACATTTGTTTGCTTTGCATATATGGATTTCTTTGGTTGTAACCAACATCTGGTTTAAATTTCAAAGTCGATAGCACCTTTAGAAAAAAATGGTGTCATTTTGATCCAAACGACTTATTTCCTCTAATATTAATATATATAAAAATAAAAATAAAAAGATATAATAATGACAATATTGGAACAAAATTATGTTTAACAGATTCAGGAAATTTTCTCAGTATGTCTCTATTATAGAAATATGTTTCTATTTTGTAAATTAAGAAAAGTATATTTTACATTTTATATTAATTTACATTTTTAATTTATATTTTAAATGTAGTTTCACATTTAGATCATTCTAAAAATAATAAAATATATTAAAATAACACACACGCAATTATCAATTTAAATTGCTTTGTGTAATATATTATATATGACTTCAAAATATTTGAAATATGATCAATTCAATTAATCTTTATTTCTATTGCGCTTTTATAATGTAGATTGTGTCAAATCCGCTTCACATAGGAGATTATTGTGCTTTGAAACAGTGTCAGTTCAGTTTTCAGAGTTCAGTTCAGTTTAAATATATATATTTTCAGTTATCATTCATTCATTCATTCATTTTCGGCTTAGTCCTTTTATTAATCCAGGGTCACAGCAGTGGAATGAACCGCCAACTGGTCTAGCATATGTTTTACGCTGCAGAGGCCCTTCCAGCTGCAACCCATCACTGGGAAATACCCATACACTCTCATTCACACATATACACTACGGACAATTTAGCTTACCCAATTCAATTGTAGCGCATGTCTTTGGACTTTAGATGCGAACATGTGGAGAACATGCAAACTCCACACTGAAATGCAAACTGACCCAGCTCGGGCTCGAACACGTAACGCCATTTCAGTTATCACATATATTGATAACCATTTCAGTTATCACATATATCAAAATTAATCAAATGTAACTAATATTTTTATTATTTCACTTTTTAAAGTTTAATTTTTGAAAACAAAAACTGTCAATGTATATTTGCACACTGGCTTTACATTTTAATGCCCCTTTCTCTTTCTCCCAGATCTGGATGTGGTTTACCCACCATATGGTTACTCTGATTTACCCATGGACGGCCTCCCGCTGGAAGCTGAGCTTCATGAGCAATACATGCCAGAAATGGCCTACGACCCTCGACAGGTGTATCCAAATCCTCTTTAACAACACTGCCAGCAGGTTAGCTTCAGCACACTCCCTGACGCACAGTTTACACTCTCTAGTTATGCATTAAAGCGCCGTTCACAGCAAGGATGATAACTAGAAAGGTCTAGAAGGTCTAGAAGTAGATCGGAATGTGAAATAACTAGAGAGTTCACACCACAGCTATAGCGAAAAAGATTGTACTGTCATCATGGCAAAGGTAAAAGAGATCTGTTTATAGAAATTAATTATTAAAAGTATTATGTTTAGAAATGTGTTTAAAAAGGGGCGAATATTTCAGAAGGGCTAATAACTTCAACTGTATCTTTATTATTCTTGCTGTGAACGAGCCTTTATACTCGACATTACCTTGTTTTTCAGATAGTGAGCCCTTGATTATTTTTTGTGAATGAATCTGTTCCTCAGTCTTCAGGTGACATGAAGTGGACGAAGGAGGAAACTACACAACGGTTTGTTCCCTGCGACAGACGCGGAGCAGGGCCTGAACTGTGCAGTGCTCGAAGAAGAAGAAAAACACTCGCTTTAGTTCACCACCGGTCTGTTTGTGACGTGAACTCGAAGCACTGCCTAACTCATCTTGTTATCTTGTGCTACTAACAGAGTGACAAAAGCCTAAAAGTGTGGTGATGCGATAAAAGCATGTGATCATAACATGTACATTTTTTGTACTTTATATCGTTTGTCCAAAGATGTCCAGACAACTCCGTCCTAGAAATGTAGCGTAGCTAGCTAGCGGCTCGGCCACATGAGGGTTCGTTTTCCTTTGCGTTCTGTGTATTTGTGGCTCTGAGGCTTTAGAAAATAAATCAACAAAGGCAACAAAACATGCATCTGAAAAAAAAACGAAAATCGTTTGTATTTTCATTGTCGCACTATTTCGAGAAAACATGTTGTCCTGACTTCCGACAAGTCAACGGCAGGTTTTTTTGTCTTTTTTTTTGTTTTTGTTTGGCAGACTCTTCCCAGCAGGCACATGATGTCAACATGACATCAGATTGATGTTGTACCCCAACGTCGTGGGGACTTTGCATTTTGTTTGGAAAAGCTGACATCAGTGTCCAACCTAAAATCAACCAAATATCAACATCTATAATGATGTTACTGCTTGACGTTGTGTGAACGTTACCACTATGACGTTGGATTTTGGTTGTCAAATTTGACAAATAAATGTTAGTATTTGATGTCAATATGACAATGGTTTTAGATGTTGGGTCGACATTGAGTTTTGTTCACTTTCCAATATCGGCGTCTAATGATGATACAAGCTTGACGTTTTGTGCACTTTACCATTATGACATCTATCAGACCAATTTTGGTTGCCATACCTGACGAATAGATGTTAGTATTTGACATAAAAATGACGTTACCACTATGACGTCTATCAAACGTTGGCTTTTGGTTGCCATACCTGATGATTAAATGTTAGTATTTGATGTCAATATGACGTTGGTTTAAGATGTTGGCTCGACGTTGGATTTTGGTCACTTTCCAACACAAACTAAAATCAACCAAAAATCAACATATAATGATGTTACAGCTTGACGTTGTGTGGACGTTACCACCATGATGTCTATCAGACATTGTATTTTGGTCACTTTCCAACACAATCTAAAATCAATCAAATATTAACGTCTAATGACGTTACAGCTTGAAGTTGTGTAGATGTCACCACTATGACATCTATCAGACGTAAGATTTTGGTTGCCATACCTGATGAATAAACATCAGTATTTGACGTCAATATGACGTTGGTTTTTGATGTTTGCTTGACGTTAGATATTGGTCACTTTCCAACACAACCTAAAATCAACCAAATATCAACGTCTAATGATGTTACAGCTTGACGTTGTGTGGATGTTACCACTATGACGTCTATCAGACGTTGGATTTTGGTTGCCATACCTGATGAATAAACATCAGTATTTGACGTCAATATGACGTTGGTTTATGATGTTGGATCGACATTGGATTTTGGTCACTTTACAGCACAACCTAAAATCAACCAAAAAGCAACATCTAATTACGTTACAGCTTGACGTTGTGTGGACGTTCCCACCATGTTGTCTATCAGACATTGGAATTTGGTCACTTTCCAAGACAACCTAAAATTAACCAAATATCAATGTTTAATGATGTAACAGCTTGAAGTTGTGTGGATGTCACCACTATGACGTCTATCAGACGTTGGATACCTGATGAATAGATGTCAGTATTTGACATCAAAATGACGTTGGTTTAAGACGTTGGATTTTGGTCACTTTCCAACACAACCTAAAAATAACCAAATATCAGCGTCTAGTAATGTTACAGCTTGACATTGTGTGGGCGTTATTACTATGACGTCTATCAGACATTGGATTTTGGTTGCCATACCTGATGAATTAATGTTAGTATTTGATGTCAATATGACGTTGGTTTAAGATGTTGGCTTGACGTTGGAATTTGGTCACTTTCCAACACAACATAAAATCAACTTTAAAACAGCCAAATATCAACATATAATTATGTTACAGCTTGACGTTGTGTGGACGTTACCACTATGACGTCTATTTAGTATTTGATGTCAATATGACGTTGGTTTAAGATGTTGGCTTGACATTGGAATTTGGTCACTTTCCAAGACAACCTAAAATCAACCAAATATCAATGTCTATTGATGTTACAGCTTGAAGTTGTGTGGATGTCACCACTATGATGTCTATCAGATGTTGGATTTTGGTTGCCATATTTGTCGAATAAATGTCAGTATTTGACGTCAATATGACGTTGGTTGTAGATGTTGGCTCGATGTTGCATTTTGCTCACTTTACAACTAAATATCAACATCATTTAACCTGGTTATTGGACATCAAAAAAACGTTGTCCTTAGATGTTAGCTAGACATTAAATTTTGGTCACCTGATGTCACGACCTAAATCTAACCTAATATTAACATCCTATGACGTTGTGTGCCTGCTGGGTTCATACAAACTGATATTCAGTTGTAAAAAAATGTTTGTGGCGTATGATTTCATGTAAAAGAAGCATTCGTTATTCACAGCTATACATTTGGACATCTTAAAATCCAATTAAAAATGCAAAGGTTTTACTATTAAACTCTCAATAAGCACATTCTGATGTCCAAACGTATTCAGCTATACATATTTTATTTCATGTATAGTTAGTACTTTTTCTAACATAACACTTCTATCAAACAAAAAAAATTATTATAATTACAGGATTCATACATTTCCGAGTATGCCAGAATTGCAAAATGAAATAAATGGCCACTTTTGTAGTCTATTTTAGAGAAATCTGATACACATCGACTCGATAAAATGCCATTTTGCTTTCTTTTCATTGCACTTATTTCTCTAACAGTGAACATTTCAAAAGAAACTGTTTTTTTCTTGCTCACAATAATCATTTAGCTCTGTTATTTGGTTTATGCTCTGAAATTAGGCTGTAATACTGTTCATTAGGACTGAATAGACTTTCAGCAAAATGCTACCAACATCATGATGATTGCTTTCCCCACCTATATAGTTTTCCAGCTAAGCTCTCGATACTAAATTGCCCTCTTATTATTATTATTATTATACAGCTCGGCTTATTCTGATCGGTCATTTAGTGTTAATGAGCCAGATAAGGGTTTATTTTACGATTATGACTGGTTGAAAATTGTCCTTATTCGCCCTCTTTATATAACATCCTTTAGACGTAAATATTTTTTATACAAAAGCTATGTTTTACATCATTGTACATAGATATAAATGTGCTGATCTTGTTTTGAATGACACGCTTATGATGCGAGGGATCATTCTGAGAGGCGTTTGTTTCAATCTGTGTGAAGTGTGATTGCTGATTGATGAAATTGCAGTAATTGTCGAGCATCATTCATTATTAACCGTAACCGTAGTGGAGAATTTAGCTTCATAACTACAAATCTGCCTGCCATCTGTTGGTATAAAGAATGTGTGTGTGCCAAAATGAATACAAGTTACATTTATGAAGACTATTCTGGTACTGTTTTCCAACTTGAGCTCAATTTGTTTTTGTTTCTTTTACGGCAGAAGTGATAAAGGGATAGTTCACGCAAAAATAAGGCCGTTCAAAATGCAAGTGTGTAATTTTCTTCTAAAGAACACAGAGAATAATATACACTACCTGACAAAAGTCCTAGTTGTAAGAGGAGCAAATATTAACTTGACTTTTAGTTGACCATTTGGAAAAGAGGCAGAAGGTGGATTTTTCAGATGAATCATCTGTTAAACTCTATCCCAATCATACTGTAGAAGATCTACTGGAATCCGCATGGACCCAAGATTCTCACAGAATCTGTCAAGTTTGGTGAAGGAAATATCTGTAGAGTGGATGGCAACATCAACAGCCTGATCTATTTAAAACATTTGTGCTGCCCATTACATTACAAACCACAGGAGAGGGCAAATTCTTCACCAGGATAGCCCTCCTTCTCATACTTCAGCGGTCAAGGTGCTGCAGGATTGGCCAGCCCAATCACCAGACCTAAACATTATTGAGCATGTCTGGGGAGGAGACAGATGGAGGAGAAGACATTGAAGATGAATCGAAAGAATCTTGATGAACTCTGAGAGTCCTGCAAGAACACTTTCTTTGTCATTCTAGATGACTTTATTAATATGATATTTGAGTCATGCAGTCCTTTAGGCTCATGGGAGTCACACACAATATTCATTCTTGTTTCACTGCACCATGACTTTATATTCAACATTATTTCTGTTAAGTGACAAGACTTTTGTCTAAGTAAAGTCAGACCTTACTGTCCTAATGAAATAATTAAAAATCAAGGCATGATCATATTTCATTTTTGGTAAAATAAGCGTAATCTAGAGGCCTTTGCCTTTCATATAAGCCACTTCTGATACCAAATGACCAACTAGAAGTCAAGTTATTATTTGTTGTTTCCAAAACCTGAATAGGCGACAAGACTTTTGCCTGGTAGTTTATAATATATTTGTAGCTGAAACTGTGGTTTTGCAGTGCAAGTATTTTGAGAATAAAAAAACCCTGTGCAGGCAAACTAAATTAATAGATATGGTTCCTGATTATACATTGAGGTCTTTGTTTACAGCAAAATTTATTGTTTGTTTCAGTGCAAAAAAAATGTGGATAAAGGTAAATTATCACAGGGTGGCACAAATGTCACAGAATATGTGATAATGAAGTCAAAAATGTACAGTTGAAAATTCATTGCAAAGCAAAAAAAAAAAAAAAACATCCTGTGAGTAAATAAGAGCAAGTGATGTGGTTTTTGATTTTGAGTGAACTATCTCTTTAAGGCCCATTTACACCAAGGATGCCAACTGCTCAATTTTATAAGTCAAGTATGTTTATGAGTCAATTATTGCACAAAGAAAGTGGTGATGAAATCTATATGATCAGTGAAAACATTGAAAGCCATTTAGAATCCATTGTGCTATAAAAGAGCACAAGCATTTAAAAAAAGCAGCTCTTACAGTTAAATAAAACAGAACACTATGGAGCTTTAGGGATGGCTGACCTGAAGCTGGCGTTTCAATACAGTGTCAAGATCTCGAAGTGCAAGTGTTTCAAAACACTGCACTGAAACTTGGTCCAAAACACCAAGGTCACATGACTAAAGAGATTTGAAACAACCAGGTCACATGACTAAGGTAATTTGAAACACCCAGGTCACATGACTAAGGTAATTTGAAACACCCAGGTCACATGACTAAGGTAATTCAAAACACATATGTCACATGACTAAAGTGATTCAAAACACTTAGGTCACATGACTGAAGCGATTTGAAACACCCAGGTCATGGGACTGAAACGATTCTTAAACACCCATGTCACATGCCTAAAGTTATTCGAAACACCCAAGTCACGTGACTAAGATGATTCAAAACACCCTGGTCATGTGACTAAAGCAATTCGAAACACCCGTTTCATGTGACTGAAGAGATTTGAAACACCCAGGTCATGTGACTAAAGAAATAAACAAAAATGACCACTAGGTGTCACTGCAAAAACATTTTAAAACGTTTCGAAGCTTCGACACACTTGCTTTGACTGTTTCAGTGTTTTATGAAGCCTCGCTGTGCCCACTACAATGGAGCTTTAGCATGGATGCTAATGTAGTTAATTCTTTTAGCTATTCTTGATATGAATGGGCCATGTGAACTTTTGATCAGATGTTTTGCTAATGCCGCATTGTTTTGCCCAATTATGTTTTTTTTTTTTGTGACTCTAGTCTGAGAAACGGGATTTACTGTAGGAAAAGCGGTCCAGTGCAGCAGTGTGCTAAAAATATAGTTAGTGACACTGAACAATATTTCATGTCCCGGAGAGACTTTGAAATCTCCTGTATTTTCAGTGGTATTTGCAGTTCTGAGTACTTCAGCATTACCATCTGCAAGAAGCAAACATTTAAATTAAAATAAAAAAAACATGCACGGAATGTCAACAGGAAGTCAGTGAATATGCATTTTTACTGAACATTTTAGTTTGACAGTAATTTCTGTTGTTTTCAAATAAATAAACTGAATTATATTAACTGTCTCTGCTTTTTCACTTTTGTTTAAGGCTGAAGCAGCTATAAAATATGTAGGAAATGTACTTGTGTTTTAATCATTTGAATCTCTTGTGTGTTCATTAGTCCAAACACAGGGACATTTATAGAGATATCTACTTTACAATATGAGTAAATAACATGTAGACTAGTTACAGTGTACTAATCTATCTATCTATCTATCTATCTATCTATCTATCTATCTATCTATCTATCTATCTATCTATCTATCTATCTATCTATCTATCTATCCATTCATCTATCTATCCATCCATCCATCTACTGTATGTATGTATGTGCGTGTGTGTGTGTGTGTGTGTGTGTGTGTGTGTGTGTGTGTGTGTGTGTGTGTGTGTGTGTGTGTGTGTGTGTGTGTGTGTGTGTGTGAGTGGGTGTGTGTACAAATAAAAAATTAAACATACAAATGATTTAGGATTAATTTGAATTAAAAATATACTATATATTTGTTTTATTATTATATATTGCTTTTTATTATTCTATTGTTACATTTATTTATTTATATACACATACGCATTTTTAAAAATATTTATTTATTTGACATTTGACGGCGCGATGACACAACGGGTAGCGATGCCATCCTCGCCGCAAGAAGATCGCTGGTTCAAGCCCCAGCTGGATCAGTTGGCATTTCTGTGTTTGCATGTTCTCCTCGTGTTGGCGTGGGTTTCCTCCATGTGTCAGGTTTGCCCCACAGTTCAAAGATATGCGCTATATGTGAATTGAATAAGTTGGACTTAGTGTGTGAATAAGAGTGTATGGGTGTTTTCTAGTGATGGGTTGCAGCTGGAAGTGCATCCGCTGGTAAAACATGCTGGATAAGTTGGCGGTTCATTCTGCTTTGGCGACCCCTGATTAGTAAAGAGACTAAGCTGAAAAGAAAAATAATCATTAGGTTAGCCACACAAACCATGGGATGGGCATATATTTAATCCTCCAGCACCACCACGTGGCGGCATGTAGTATTCCTGGTTAATCAGCAGCGTCATCATCATCATCATCATCATCATCACACAACTACATTTTTATTCACTTTCGTTTCGGCTTAGTCCCTTTGTTAGTCAGGGGTCACCACAGCGTTATGAACCACCCGCAACTACATTTTATTGTGCAAGAAATTAATCGTATTAAGATTATTTTAATAGACAATGCAAATCGGCAAATTAACTTGACAAATAGAAAATTAATAATTCATTACAGGGAACATGCCAGCTCACACGTCTAGATGATTATAAATGAGTCATTGTAAGTATACTTGTGTTTGTGTGTGCGTGTGTGTGTAATATAATATAATATTATATAATATTATATAATATTATATAATATTATATAATATTATGATATATATATATATATATATATATATATATATATATATATATATATATATATATATATA